GTTGGGGTTTCAGTTCTCTCCGCAGAGCCCATCTGCCAGCCTGTGCCAGCGATGGCCTGCAAAGCTCCTTCCCCACCACGCAAACCGGGCATGCTCATCACAAAAAACAGGGAAAGAAAAGAAACAAAGGAGGAAAAAAGGAGGAAGATGTTCCTGGTAGAGGATGGAGCTGTGCGGGAAGCAAGGGATGGGGGGGCCGGCAGCCGGGGGGGATGGCGGGGGGGGAGCGCCGGCAGCCAGGAGGGAGGGGACGGAGGGATGGAGAAGGGAGGCGCGGGGGGGCCACAGCGCATGGAGCCTGGGAGCTGCCAGCCAGACTTTATTTACGTTTCTTCTCTTTGGCCCCGGGGGGCACCTGGGGGGGTTTGGCAAAACCCACTTTTGGCAGGGTACTCCTCCAAAAGAAAACTGCAGCACTTTCTTCTGGTCTAGGGCGTGTTAAGCTAACGATTTGGAAGAGCCTTTTCCAAGACCCCGTTTCCCACTACCACTTCAAGGGGAAAAAGGAATTTAAAACATTCAAAGAGATTTTAATATTGGGTGTCTCCTGGATCCCAAGGTCTGGCTTCCAGCACCCCTCCCCTCCAGGTACAAGCATCCCCCACAAAAAAAAGGCTTATTTTGACCAAATTTACAGACCATAAGCACATTTTATATTATATTTCACTTGGTGATAACCTCTACCTTCACCAAACATTTGTTTTTCACAACATTTAAAGCTGCCGCAAAGAAAGCTTCCCTAGCAACATCACGTTCTTGGTCCGTCACACCCCCCCTCAAATCCCTTCTTGCATTTAAAAAACCTGATGAAAATTAATGAACGAGAACCCAAAGAACAATCTAGCAAATGAAAAGGTTCCAGGAATCTTTTAAGGACGTTCAGAGAAAGGAAAGGTGAAAGAACAGCAGTGCTGTATGTTTTTACCAACGGTGGGAGTGGTGGCTGCACTCAGGGAATTGGTGGAAGATATGGAAGAAGTACTTTCAGCACGGGCTAAAGGTGCTATCGGAGGAGGGCTGGATGAGTGAATAGGAGGGCTAAAAGGCCTGGACTGTAGAAAAACATAAAATAACAAAAGGTTAAAGAAAATACATGCAGTGACATTTGCATCAAACAAACAGAAGCTTTTGCCTGAAGCCGTAAACCTCCGTACCTCCGCCGGCCTCCCGGGGCAGCCCCCCGGGTTAGTGCCAAACTGAACAACTTCAGTTTTTTAGTGCCACTGGCATTTTAGTCTGGACCTAGAAAAACGGCAGATAATTCCCACTGTCTTGTGGGTCTGGGCGTTTGAAGCTCCCATCTGCACCGAGGACAGGGAGCTCCAAGGGCCATGGCGTGGATTCAATGCACCCGGCACCGGCAAGGGAGCGGTGCCCACCACGTGCCAGCTCACCGGGTCCTTCTGGATCCTTCGGGGGTAGTTTTATATCCATAACATCGATCCAGAAATTCTCTATAACTTACCTGAAGCAGCCCAGGGTGGTGGGGCAG